ACTCGACGTATATCATGATTCAAGATGCCCTTCGGCTACAAACTGAGCTGGGGCAGTTTGTGCGGATACATCCAGAAATTCAGGCCCTCCAGCTTACCGATGACGAGTGGTCGACACTTCAGCAAGTGGCCAAGATCCTCAAGCCGTTCTGGGACCACACGAACTCTGTTTCAAAGGCATGCCCAACAATTGTGGAAAGTCTACCAATTTACTGGAGTTTGGACGATTTGTTAAATGACGTTCGAAATGCGGAGGGAGATTTTGAAGACGTGAACATTGAAATTCGCGATGCGGTGGAAAGAGGCATTCGTAAGATGAACAAGTTTGCTAGGAAAATGGACGACAACCTTCTTTACTATGTGGCTTCCGTGTTGGATCCGCGCATCAAATCGTCTCTGATTGTGTCTCAAATGAGCGAGCAAGATTCGGGGCTTATCGTCTCGCAAGTGCGGGAATTTCTTAAGAAAGAATACCCTCCAGAGCCATTTGCGTCATGTGAAGTTGACCATCCACGTCCAGCAGGGATGTCGGAAACAATGTGGAGAACTCTGCGCAAAGTCCAGCCATCCAAAGAGGCATCTTTGTCGGATATTGACAAGTATTTGGATTCCCCGCCGGTCAACTGGTCCCACCACATGATCGGCGATGCGGACGCAGAATGGGTCCTAAAGTGGTGGAAGGCAAACGCCTTTAATTTTCCACTCATGGCAAAAGCCGCTCGCGATTACCTACCCATCCCTTCGGCAGAGGTCGGGATTGAGCGCGAGTTCAGCAATGCTCGAGATGTCTTGGGCCTCCGAAGGCACCGTCTGAACGCGGAGACTATGCGATGGCTGATGCTATTGAGAGGAAAGTCTCAGACATAAATCTCCACCGGTGCATGCATGTAATTTTCAGTGCTTCGATATTAAAGACAGGCACATAATTCGCTATGGAATAAAGTGTCTGAGCATGATTGATGTATTCGAATGTAATGAAACGAATGGTAATGTATGGTATTTTATTATATGAATAAATATGAATTAATCATATATTCATGAATATTGCGAATATGAATAAAGGGCTTATTCATATTCATATTATTCAATTCATATTATTCATATTCGCAAATATTCATGAATATTCATGAATAATCATATTCCTTTCGGATCCCTAAAGAGTGTTGTGATATGAGGCTGGTGCAGATCAGGAACCAAGCCGCACCGTCGGAACTAGCTCCGAAGTGTCTATACAGACGACCAAGTTGATTGGTAATCAACTTGGCTACTTGTTGTATATATAGGCTCATGTGTCACTTTGAAATAAGAAGTTAATTCATAACTCTAAACAACAACAGAGACGTCTATTCTTCATGGCAATGTGAGTGATTTATCGCGCCCTCTGCTGCGCTATATCAGCTATTTGTGCAAGCCCTTGTGCTCCAAAACACGAACACCATTGCTAATTGTCATGTCATTTTACATAGGAGCAGCCCATCGCCATCCGTGAAACATCCTTATCGCGAAGGTTATCGTCGGATCGGAGATAAGACCAAGGCGTCACTACGACGCGTGCTCCATCGCGTCTTCCGCCCTGGACTTCACCGCCTTCATGCCATGAACGGTGGAGTGTTTGCCGTTCCCATCGCAAGGTCTTGTCCCACTACGACTGTACAATTATTTGTCACAGGTGTCTTCGTCACGTGCCGTCGGAGCTCAGGAGTTGCCCGGTGCACCCAGCGCGGCTTATTCGAAGCGACAGCCGGTGCGAACTGGATACAACATTATGTCAAATGGCATGAATGGTGACTGCATTGATAAAGACACTTGTAAGTGACCTCGTTGGTAGGATATGACTGCGAAGCTAATCAATCGTTTCGTCTCAAACGAACGTTCTGCGAACTTAATGAACAGGCAAGGAATGAAATCTCGTCCAAGTGGTAGCCTTGCTGACTCGGATCATACAAAAGCTCCCCTCATATCCCCGTCACTCGAGTCGAATGCGAAGCGAGCAATCTTGTCTCCTCAAGCTCTTATACCGATGCGGTCGCAAGCTATCTGTCCCTTCCTCATGACCACTGGTGGCATGGACGAGGAATGACTGGAATGTTCACCTCGTCTCGGCCCTTCTCTCAGTCGACTCTGTGCATCAGTCATGTGCCGATGTGTCTACCCAATACAAATCTCAAGTCACAATGGGCCTATACCACCGTGTCTCGGCATTCGAACAAACACCGCGAAAGAATAAATACCTGACGTCCAATGGGTGACCCTCATTATCCTCGATTCGCATCTCACGTCTTTTGATGCCTGGCAGCCCGAAAGGCACCGGGATGAGCTCATGTTTCAGTCTGACTCATGGCGGACGAGTCCTCTTTCACCAAAGAGCAGGCTGTGAGTCTAAGTCTGCGTGCAAGGAGAAGGTGGGGCGGGGCCCCATTATTTCGAGCCTACAGATGAACGTTGGCCATATCAGGTACGAATCGATAAAAGGAGACGGTAGGGTGTCGAGTCATAGCCGAGTCAACTAGAGAGCACGAGCACAGAGATGCCGTCTGATAGTTTTACCTGATCCTACTCCGCGTTGCTGAGCCGGTCGATGTATTCCAGCGGGTGGAACCAACAAATGGAAACGAGCGAGCAGAAGAGACCAAACTGACATACATGGCGCTGCATTGAAGACACTATCAGACCTCCTGTAGTGTCTTTGGACAGATCTTGGTATACTTGATGCCTAAGCACGCTCTTTTGTATCCAAGCCTGAGCAACTTGCAAAGGTCATTTATCCTCGAGGTCACTGCAGTTGCAGGTCAGCAGTGCGTCCCCTACGTCCCCTGTTCTTGGGCGTCAAATGTATTTTGTCAAACCTCACCGCGCCCTGGACGAAATTTGGCATATCACTGTTCAAGCAGATCCTCTGTAAATGTGAGTTGGATGTCTGCACTAATTTACTCAGAGCCATCCTCTGTGCGATCTCGCTGACTATCTATGACAGCCTATGCTAAAATTTCTACCCCTAATCAGCATTCATATGATTGCTTTCGGCGGGGTTGGTTACGCGCATGTCTGCTGCGGCTCCAATCCAAGTAGATCGCATCGCAACGTCCGTCGTAAATGCTGGCGGAATCGTCTTTACTAGATCTTGTCAAGATGGCGCTTGCTAGACCCGATCGGGCTGCAACCATGTTCTCTACACAGTGGAGTATGTTCGATTGCTTGAACTCGGGTACCACGCCCAAAAAGCAGTGGTCGCCGATTTGAGTCCGGTGTCGTTGCTACATAGGAGACGGGCTCGCAATATAAATAGTAATTGCTGTAAGTGACAAAGGTGCAACGGCTCCATGTAGAAGCAGCCAATCGGAAAATTTTGAGCCAAGCCCCTCAATTTCTTCGTTGTCTTGATTGGGAATCCACTTTGACTCGCGACCGTTGTGGATGCAGGTATTTTACAGCAGAGTAGGAGTGAGTAACTTGCAAGCCGCCTGAAGCGGCAAATTTGACTACGCGAGGAACAGTTTATCGCATCACCATAATTGTCTGAGCAACAGATTGTATTTCGAGCGCTCGTTCAATGCTTCATCTAGACCTGGTAGGTCTGATCGTGGGTGTTTTGCCCAATTATAGCTTCACCGAGGGTTATTGGTATTTGCAATGAACCAGCTCAATCGAATAAGAGGCTGTGTGCCAGAAATACTGAGTAAACACCAGGGGATCATCGTAGCAAGTGATGCCAAATGGTGCAGAATGAAACAATTAAACTGATATTTCTGTCATATGTAGACTTCCGCACCGGCCCAAAAGCCCAAGGCCCAACCCGGCCCCACCCGCGGATGGGCTTTGGGCCTAAGGTAGAAGTTCCCTGGGCTTTCGTGGGGCGAACTATATATATCTATGTGCTGTTATGACATCAATTGTTCCCCAATCTAGCTGCCGGCTACTTTATCCGCAAATCATACTGGTCTATTCAAATAGGATCTAAAACTACCAACATCACTGCAAAGGAATAAATAAATACCAGTATGCACCTCCGAATGCCATCACTCCAAACGCCATCTCTCCATCATCTGTTCGGAAAGCTTTTTTGATGCAGATCCAAATTCGAACGCCCATTTAAAAACTGGCCAAACGAAACCATCCACACCTCAGTCGTCGCCCTTTAATAACAAAGCATAGAATGGAAGAAAACTTTTGGTGTTTCGATCCTGTACCAGAATCTTTGTTAAATCCACCACCAAGCCATTCTAAGTACGATACAAAGCTGGATATATCAAAAGAGCCAAGCAGGAACACACCAAGTTGTCAGCTACCTGCTCCTCGAACCAAGCGGTCGGAATGGCATGTACCAGACAAAACATCAAAGTTCCGAATTCAGAACGCCCAGTGGACTTCCAGGGATCTCGTGGAGTAAAAGAGACAGTTGCTCATAAAGATAACGATTTCTGGGGATTTGACTCTACCCTGCCAGTGTTTCCCTCGAGTCCAACCCAAACAGGGGATGTTGTTAAGTTAACCTCACAAGGCTTAGCCTCATTAAAGCAGGCTGGCGAGGAACACAATTAGTCTTGTCTGCTTTGGTCAAAGAAAAAGCGTGACGACAAGCATTCGCATCCCCACTTGAGGGCATGTATCCAAGGGAAGATCATCTCGAAGATGTCGTAATATCAGAAGAGACTATGTTGTTGGATAGGTGACTGGACTTGTCAGCATCAGAACGATGATAGCCCACAAGAACTTCTCAAAGTCGTTGCAGATACATACATATCCCTCATTTCTTTTTGGTCCGTTCAAGGAGCTTCATGAGCGACCGCCATGCTAGGATTGGATTCAATTATTTCCGTAGCGAGGTTGCGCCTCTGGCAAATGTGGAACTAGCACAGAGCTCACCTTTCGCCTATTCTGTTTGCATGTTTCAACTACGGCCTAGTGATGACCGTAATATTGAACATAAATATTGCAAGGACTCTATCCAGGATTATTTCCATCGCCATGCTAAATTTACGTGGGAATAGCACATCTTGGATTAGCAGCCAAGACACAGTACCCAAGAACATTAAATTATACTGCTTAGGCCAAAACATAGGATGCGAAGGAGGGCTCATGCCAAATAAGGCAAAGATAAGGGTTGTGCTTCTATACAGACCATTACACGCTCACGGGGGTTTGGCGCGGATTTTTTTACTTCTCTCGGTAAAACTAGCTCTCTTCAAAGTGCTTGTTGTCTGATATCTGGCCCTATCGATATGGGGACTTGAACTGCCTATGGTCAATCCTTTGGTCGTGGCGTGTATATCTACCTCAGTGGAAACAGCCGGTGGAGTTGGGTAAATAAATTCGTGAAAAGCCGAACTAGCTACCCGATTCCCAAGGTATTCAATACAGTCTTTGATTTTCCAGGCGATGCACATCTGTCGAGCTTGCGTTTGCCAGCAAGGTGGGGACGCTTCACCAAGCCATCAGAACGCTGTCACTGTTCGGTGAACTAGCGCAGCCGATTTAAGAAACTGCTTTGATATGAGGCTGGTGCAGATCAGGGACGGAGCGGCACTAACGGATACAACCCCCGATAGGTGTCTATACGAAGAGGCACTTTGATTCGAGATCATTTTGGAGTTCATGCTGTATATATAGCTTCACGTATATCCCCTGGAATAGAATAATCAATCAGATTCCTCTGATCTACAACAGTCGCGGTAAATCAAAGACATGGGTCCCCGACGCTTTCTACCGAGCCAAACATTCATAGGCGTCAATGGAGTCAAGCAAGTGAGCTGCGGGAAAGGCAAACTTGGCATCGTCGCCCTCGAGGTCTGCTAGTGCGGCAATAATACACGTGGTCTTGGATACGTTTCGTCCCCTTCCTACGCCACATCACGCATGCGATAGATCCC